ATAGGATATGGTAATGCGAAGGTATGAGTCACATAGGGTTACTGTTAGGTGAGGTGTCTGCATAAATAGTTAAATCCAGGGACCTCCAGTACAGCCCACTCCATCGCTCCTATTTTCCTCCCACATAGTTTGGCAACACTACGTCAACTATCGTGGGCCCCTCCACTCCCATCTGCCCCCTCGATGGTTCCTGCCTAGAAGTACAGTTAACTCCTCCATCCTCTCCCGCTTTGGCCTCGCTGGTCTCTTGTCTGCTTAATGGGGGAGTTATCTGGGCTCGCCCAGTAGTCCTGTCTTGCTAATAGGGGCTCGCTTAGCTTTAGCACGGTCGGCTTCCGCTCTTCGCTTCCTGGCAGCACGGGCAGTAGTGGACGTCCTTCTCCCCGCTTGCACGATCCCTGTTGGGGAATGCCTCAGCTAGTAACTTCTGGGTCTGTCTCGCGCTGAGATCTGACCATACCCTCCTAGTCGCACGGTTCAAGTTTCAGTTACCTTCCTCACCTCGCCCTTCCACCTCCCTACTGCTGGTAGGATCCCTTCCACTAAGTGACGCTATCTCTCAAAGAACAAGGGACTACATGAGAGACATGGTAATACGTCAGTTCGGTCTACGGTCGGGTTTGTACTGGGGCCTTTGGCCCTGCCTCCACTCTCCACTTCGGTCGCGTCAGCTCGTACCCTACTACCTTCCCTCCTTGGCTGGTACCCTACTACCTCCTTTCTCTGCTGCGTGGTGTTCTGGGGCTTCGGCCTGCTGCCTGCCCGTGGTCGATCTTTGGCTGGCACCCTACTGCTGGGCGGCATCCCCTCTGCCAAACATCCATTCCTTGGGCCTGGCACTGTGGCCTCTGTTCTCAATTGGCGGGCCATGGTATTGTACTACTTCTGTGGCTTAGCTGGTTGGGGGCACTCGGCCTTAGGGCTCATCGCCGGCCGCCCACTTCAGGGGCGGTTCTTTAAATAACGGCAAATCTGGTAGTATGGTGGGCAGTGGTTTGTTTTCCTTTGTGACCCCTACGGATCTAGTAGTTTACAGGATGGAATTTTTCCTTATGCTTTCCTGCCTAGCTTGTTTGGTTTCCTTCCTGTTGGCTACGTGTAGTTAGTGGGGGGGGTTTTCTTTCAGGCGAGGAATCTTCTTGGGCTTTTGGTTGGCTTCTAGGCGAGACCCTTTCATGTTCAAGTCGTGAGGCCTGCGGGCTGGGCACCTGAGTTGATTGCCCTTAGAGTGTGTGTGGTTGGGCCCATACCAGAGGGTCTTGGGGGTACAGGTTTTCTCTTGCTCCGGGGTGGAGGGGTTTTCTTAACACCATAGCTAGTGCTGCATGCGATGTTCTTGTACCTTAAACAAGTAACTAAATGATTATAAAAAAAAAAAAAAAAAAAAAAAAAAAGGACCTCCAGTACAGCACACTCCGTCGCTCCTATTTTCCTCCCACATAGTTTGGCAATACCACGTTAACTATCGTGGGCCCCCCCCACTCCCCTCTGTCCCCTCGATGGTTTCTGCCTAGGGGTACAGTTAACTCTTCCAGCCTCTTCCGCTTTGGCCTCGCTTGTCTCTTTTCTGCTTGATGGGGGAGTTATCTGTGCTCACCCAGTAGTCCTGACTTGCTAATAGGGGCTCACTTAGTTTTGGCACGGTCAGCTTCCTCGCTTCGCTTCTGGACGGCGTTGGCAGTGGTAGACATCCTTCTCCCCACTTGCACAATCCCCATTGGGGAATCCCTCGGCTAGTAACTTCGGGGTCTGTCTCGCAATAAGATGTGACCATACCCTCCTAGTCACTCAGTTCAAGTTTTGGTTACCTTCTTCACCTCACCGTTCCACCTCCCTACTGCCAGTGGGATCCCTTCCACTAAGTGATGCTATCTCTCGGAGAACAAGGGACTACATGAGAGACGCAGTAATATGGCAGTTGTTTGGTTTCGGTTGGGTCAGCACTGGGGCCTTTGGCCCTTCCTCCCTTTTTCTCTTCGGTTATGTCGGCTGGTATCCTTCTGCTGTCAGCTGGTACCCTACTACCTCTCCCTCTTTTGCTGCCTTGGGCAGTTCCTTTGGCCCTCCATGCTCACAATCGAAGGGCTATATGCCCAAGGCATACATTTATGCCATCTAAGTAGATGCGCCTATTCGCTATTTCGACTTCCCGAGGCTTGGGTGGATCCGAACTGGTCTGTCTGGGAATTTGGTTATTGTAGGTGAGGAATTGGTTTCAGCCTTTGGTTTGGGGTTTCTTTGAATTGGGCTTTCTTCTGTTCAGTGGGGGGTGTCCTGTCGGGATAGGGGTTTTCCTTGCTTTGAAGAATGGGTTTTTGGGCTTTCTGTCTTTACTGTTTGTAGATAGCCGTGTGGAAGACTTGCGGGGGAGGTTTTTAAACTGAGGGCTGGTTGGGTGTTGGTGGCTATAGGCGAGACCCCTCCGCGTTCAAGTCGTGGGCTCTTAGGGGTGGGCACCTGGCTGCTGGCGTGTGCCTTACTGGGGTCACGGTTTTTCTTCTGGCTGCTTGAGAACAAGGCGGAGTAGAGGTGCGGGTCTGCATGGTGAAGGCTGATATGACCCCCCGCCTTACTTTCGTTAAAACGGATAAATAAATAAGATTACAAAAAGAAAAAAAAAAAAAGGACCTCCAGTACAGTATGCTTTATTGCTCCTATTTTCTTCTCACATAGTTTGACAACACCACCGTCAACTAACGTGGACTATCCACTCTCCCGTCTGCCTCCTCGATGGTTTTTACCTAGGTGTACAGTTAACTCCTTCATCCTCTCCTACCTTTACCTTTACCTCTCTGGTCTCTTGTCTGCTTGATAGAGGAGTTATCAGAACTCACCCAGTAGTCCTGTCTCACTAATAGGGGCACATTTGACTTTGACATAGTTGGCTTCTTCTCTTCCTTTCCGGTCAGTGCTGGCAGTGGTGGGCATCCTTCTCCCCACTTGCACGATCCCCATTGGAGAATACCTCAGCTAGTAACTTTGGGGTCTGTCTCGAGGTGAGATTTCACCATACCCTCCTAGTCACCCAGTTCAAGCTATGGTTGCCTTCTGCCCCTCACTCTTCTGCCTTCCTACAATCAGTGGGATCCTTTCTACTAAGTAATGCAATCTCTCCGAGAATAAGAGACTACATGAGAGACACAGTAAAACAGCAAGAGTTCAGTTTCTACTATTGGATTTGCACTGGGGCCTTTGGCCCTCCCTCTATCTTCCACTTTATTTATGTTAGCTCACACCCTACTACCTTCTCTCCTTAGCTGGTACCCTACTACCTCCTCCCTCTACTGCGTGGTGTTTTGGGGTTTTAGCCTGCTGCCTGCCCGTAGTCGATCTTTAGCTAGCACTCTACTACTGGACGGTATCCTCTGTACCAAATATTTACTCCTTGGGCTTGGCGCCGAGGCTTCTGTTCTCAATTAGCTGGTCGTAGTATTGTACTACATTTGTGGCTCAGCCAATTGGGGGTGTCTGTCCTTAGGGCTTTTCACCAGTTACCTACTTCAGAAATAGTTCTTTATAAACAGCAACCTGGTGGGTCAGTGGATAGTAGTTACTTTCTTTTGTGACCCTTATGTATCTAGTAGTTTACGAGATTGAGTTTTTCCTTATGCTTTCCTGCCTAGCTTGTTGGACTTTCTTTCTGTTGGCTACATGTAGTTAGTGAAAGGGATGGTCTTTCAAGTAAGGAATCTTCTTAGGCATATGGTTAGCTTCTAGGTAAAACCCTTTCGTGTTTAAGTCATGAGGTCTACAGACCGGACACCTGAGTTGATCACCTTTAAAGTGTATGCAGTTGGGCCTATGTCAGAGAGTCTTAAGGGTACGGGTTTTCTCTTAGTCTGAGGTGGAGGGGTTTTCTTAATGCCATAGCTAGTACTACATGCGATGTTCTTGTACCTCAAACAAGTAACTAAATGATTATAAAAAAAAAGAAAAATAATATAAAAAAAAGGACCTCCGGTACAGACTCCTCACACAACCACTTAAGTTCTTTCCTATACTACAAGTTGAATCAATACTTTATACACACTTTGTACAATACTACATGGGAAAGAGGTCTCACTTACAAGAAGTAATGCGAGTATGATATTATCCTCACTATTAGAAGTGATAGTGACAATAGGAACTCTCTGAGTTATCGAGGTATCAGATAAATTGAAGAGGTAAGGTTGTTACCTGTTGAAGAACTAAGTACAGAGAAGTAGGATCGTTACACCCGCCCATCCATCCTTGCACATTTTTCTGGTATATTGGCAGGTTGTCTACCCACCTACCCCAATAAGTTAAGCACCTCCATAGTGAGGCATATAGTTGCTGCAGTAAACAGATTAGTATAAGACTTTAAAGTGAAAAATAAATAAATAAATAAATATAGTTGTGGATGGAATGCAAAACAGATGGAAAAGAAAGTAATTAATAAACCAGACATATAGATATAGCTTCAAGTAGCAATAGTTGAGTAGTCATAGTAGGGGTAAGAGATATTGACATTAAGTTGGATATGTATTTGTGAAAGAGAGAGTGGAAGAGATTAATAAGAAAGAAGGGGAGGGAGAGGGATGCCATTATATAGATCTAATGCAGAAGTGCCACGAGAGCTCAGTAAAGGGAAGGGGAAAAATATATATAAATAGGATTTAGACTTATACTAGAAGGAGGAGGAAAGGTTTGTACAAAATAAATATCATGAAGGGAAACATAACACTATAATAGGAGTTGAAAATACAAACCTGTTAGAAAATTACATTACTGCTTACTTTTTTATTCCCCTTTAGAGATCCTAAAATTCTATAGTTTCTGGAAGACTAGAGGTTAACATAGTTTTCACATAAAAAGACATGACAATTTTAGATACAATAGCAACTGTAATGGTTTTGTTTACTTATTTATTTACTGCTATATATGTTTGTTTGGTTGCAATGCAATTTGTAAAACAAAGTATGATAATAATATTATTATCATAAGAGCTCAAAAATATGACAGCACTTGTGTTCGGTCCAGCAGTGTAAAAAGTCGTCGCGCCTTACGACCGCCGCCACGACGTAAGTTATCGTTCTTCCTACGCAGCTTAAACCCGCCAGCACAAAGGGTCCCAAGCCATCAAATTTTTTGGCGGCCGCCTCCTTCCCTTTTTCAACCCTCCCCGAGGAGACCCCTGAGGGCCTTCAATCCATTTGACCGAAAATATGGTTCCTCCACCAATCCAGAGCAAGCATCGTAAGCCCATTACCTACGGCCGCCTTTCCCATTCGAATTCTACGAATTTCAAGGTTTTTCAAGACACAGTTGAGGGAAGAAATCGCAACGAAGAGCCTAGAGCTACTGGTACGCCCACCTTTAGTGGGTCGAGAAATGGATTCTGGCTAATTATACTGTAGAAATAGTGCCTAGACGTGTTCGAGCCTCGGGGTTGTTACCGACCTTACCACCAATGGCTGAACAATCTTTTCAGCGTTCTGAGTTTAACAGTATCTATCACATAGGCGATGATGTTGGCGGGGACCCATTTGCTGATCCCCCTGCCCTGAACCCCCAGGCGCCCGCCAGGTTAGTCCATACAAAGGAGGTCAAGCAATCATCGCTATCTAGGAAGGTAGCGTTAGCAGAAAAATCTGCCAACTATCCAATTCTTAGGAACACTACCGTTGCTATTACAAGTGATGCAGCAAGTCCAAGTGGTACAGACCGTACTAGTACGTGCCCAAGGCAGATTATTGTGCCGTCATCCCATTACGTGCCAGGAGCATAACTCAAGATTAAGTACTGATCTCGAACAATGCGTTTTATAGGTGGGCCACCCCCACGTCCTCGTAAAATCCGTCACTATGCGCCCAGCCTGGGAGACCAAGACTTGTCATATCTTTTATCTCCTTCCAAAGCCCGAAGTCCTATATCTGAAGATAATTTTCGACGATCCTCGACCAGAGCCGGGGAAAGAAAAGTTAACAGGCTATATAGTACACCACCTGCAGGATCAGGAGTCGATCAACACGGAATGGCGGATGGAAATACTAGAGCCAGTATCTGGGTGCGTGACAAGGCAGGGTATTTAATGAAAAAGACTGCTGGGAAGATGGGCTCATCTCCCCCCAATGCAAGGTGCAAATCTCACCGTGAGGAAGCGACTCCCACAACTCTGGGAAAGACTTCCAGAGGCGGGGTCCGGAAGAATATCTTCCCCCGATACTCGGTTGAGGGGATGAAAAGGAGAAGAAAAGGATATGACCCAGTGCCTGCAACTACTGATTGTGGAACCGGGTACGAGAGTAATGGAGATTCATCGGTGAAGGACCCATTTGGCTCAGGTCAAGACGGTGACTTTGAGCATGGGATTTTTGCTGGAGAGAGCTCAGACTACCTCGTGGAAATACCAAAGAAACGTCGAAACGCTCAAGAACCGTACGGTTGGGGCGCTAGAGCACAAAGTACACAAAATTTGTTGGCCCAGGTGAAAGAGACGAACCCTTTCATGAAAGAAGCCGGCACTAGATACAGGTCTCGAAATTTTAAATATGACGCAGAATTGGAAGATAGAAATTCAGGGGAAGATTGGGATGAAAGAGAAGCATTAATTGCCGGTGCTGCTGAGAGTCTTATGGCTTACATGTCTGACAGTAATGAGAACGTTCCCCCCGGCCCAGTCGTGCAGTCAACCTCCAAAAGCCCATCTTGGAGTCAGCTGAGAGATCACAGAAAGAATAAGTCAAAGAAACAAGCCGGAAAACCCCCTCCTCCCGAGAATAAGAGAAATTCCAGGTCTAAGTTCCTCGCGTCTGCGGGGGATACTGGTACAGACTCATCTGTGGGCTTAAGCGCCAAAGGGTCCTCCGCGGATGTGGCACGGGAGAGCCCCGAGGGTATTCCCACGGTTCATACCCCTGGTGGTATAAAGCACCACGACGTCAAGAGCGGCAAATTAGTACGCAACAAAAAACCAGGTGAGGACGGCCTAGGTTCGTGGGACAATCCGGGTGGTCGTAAATCCTTTCCCGACTCATTGCCGGTGAGTGTGAGTCCACAAAATGCAACCTACCCAGGCGCCTCGCAAACGGGAGGAACCGAAGACTCTAGGCAGGGTAGTAGGATTCCGAATGCAGGAATCGGCAAGGATACTAGGAGCAAAGCTTCATTGGGCACTAGACGCATGCGAGAAAATAGACAGGGCAAAAATGGCAAACCTATAACTCCCCTTGAAGACTCCACATTCCAAGGCCCTATCAGAATACCTCGAAATACTTCGGCAAATATAGTTGGAAACAAGTCAGTTGGCAGCCATAGCCACGGGGCGGCACCGCTAGGGAAAACCCCACCAAAAAGTATGCCCTACAATACAAAGCGGAAGAAGGATGTCGAGAAAAAAACTGGTGGACCGAAGGTGGAGATGGTTTGTGAAGACGATGACCTCGACGAACTTCAGATGGACCTCCCCGGCATGAGGATTTGAGTGTGGTGATAATGGGATATATCCCTCTGGCATTGTTTGGCGCAGTCTCATACCATAGATCCGTCTGGCTCATTTTTGTCCTCATTTTTTACCTCACGCTGCTGATTCGGTTGTTCTTTTACTGGCGATATTATTAATCGGATCTGTACCTTTTTAAGACACCCTAATGATTACTTTTAACAGTTTCAATGGCTTATGGCTTGCTTGAAGATTTCACGATCGACTTCTCTGTACCGATAAATCGCATGTCTTGGCTATGTGTTTTCTCCTTGTGCTTCTACCTAGGTAGGCCGTTATAGCATCACTTTGGCGGATATCAACGACGGAAAAATCTCCTGTATCATACTTGCAAGGTGGTATTGATGTTAAACCAAAGAACTAAAATACACGGCGCGCAACAGCCCTCGTGCAAGAAACACAGCCAGCAGTATTACCACCACGCGGTCCGCATTCCATCGGCCAAACCCAAGAAGAGTAAGAGTATTGTGGATATCTGACCGGACAAAACTTGCGAGTGACATCTCATGAGTACCTGTCCGCTCAGTCCTCAGCTCTGTTGATGCCGGGTCGGCGATACAAGGATAAATAAATTATATTTAACAGCTCCAGCAAGAAGGCCTATGATTTCCCTGCCGGCAAGATCGTGATATAAAGTTAACCACTACTTTTCCGATACAAGGAGCGCATCTCAGGACTATCATTACGCTAGCATCACTTACGCAACCCAAAAATCCACATTATTAAACTCAACCTAACCACCGTCTCCCATACACCTACATACGACACCCTTACCACAGCATAAATGTATACAAATACAGGAGCCCCAATATGATCTGCTGCCACGACTAGCCTGCCCCTCGCAGCCACAGCCATAGTCACAGCTACACCCCATAACCATTCCTTCCTTCCGTAAACCCACATAATACCATCGCCCTACTCATCGATTAGGTTACAAAATAATTATTATCCCTCATTCGGGCGTTAAACCAAATTCAAAAACGTCCCGCACGCGGTGAAACAAAAACGGGACAAAACGAGACAAAAGTGATGGTAATAACCGAGTACTCTACACATACATTATGTATTCATGTGTGCTTATATCATTGATCGATTGACTGATTGACCTTTTTTTTCTCGTTGTTGCTGGTGTGAGTACTGTGCTGTAGCTCGGAGGGGGGAAGAGAGATGACGGTGGAGGTGGTGGGAGGGGGGGTAGGGGGGGGGGGGGGGTTATTTAGGTAACTAACTATGGAGTCCTTTACTTTTTTCCGGTTAGAAGGGTAGGGGGTAAAGAAGTAGAGGCAGGATGAGAGAGGGTGAGAGTAAGGAGGGGACGGTGCGAAATGAAAAGGAAAAGAGAAAACTGAGAAAAGAGTTCAAGACATGACGTAAAACTACACAGAATCTACCATCCAAGCTTGACAAACTAAATCAATCATTTGTAAACACGAGAGACAGGGCAAATGATAATGAAGAGACCCAGTATGGAAAAAACAAGAAACCAAACTTCGGCTGCTCCAGGGTTATATGAAAACAAGCATGAAGGCTCGGGAGGACGGAGCGAGAAAGCAATATAAAACTTATTGACACATTAAATGCTTTCTCCCCACCTCCTGGTATTGGAACGACAGGCCCCTTTGGCTTCTCCCTTCCCCTACTTTCCCCAATGCTTGACTAGCTAGCGTAGCTTAGCTGACTCTCCTCCCTTCCATAACCCCGTTAAACCCCCCATGCTTCTTGATGGTTCCCGCATTCGCAAACTTCATCTTCGCTAACCCGTTCTCCAACACACCGCCCGGATTATTACTTCCAACTTTCCTAGCGCTGGGCATAACAAACCGAACCTGCCTCGAAAGCCCTGGTGAGGTGGGTGTAGGCTGGCAGAGCGCAGTGACCTGCTGTTCCTGATGAGCCGGAATAGTCGGCACTAGCTCCATCTCACGGGTGTTGGTCGGAGAGACCGGTGGGCTGACAGCCTGGAAGGTGAGGGGAGGCAGAGTGTGGGGCCCCTTTCCATATCTCAATCCGCTGGGCTCGGGCACGGACCCTGGAATCCGGCCCTCATCGGAAAGAGGCGGCGATCTCTCGACTTCCATCATTTCCTCTTCCGCATCGCTCTTATATCCATCGTCCTCATCACTCGATGAGGTTCCAGAATCACAGGCTCCATCCAACCCCATCCTACCATAAAACGACAAGCCATTCTTCTTAGAGGTTGGTCCCGCTTGCAGTGACGCCACTGCAGGCACCCTGGTGCCCTTGGGTGGTGGGACAGAGGCATTCTCTGAGACGGCCGGCCTCATTGCACCACTGCTCCTCGGAAAAGCGACATTCATCGCGATAATGGTAGTGCTCGGTTTATTCTCAGCCTCTGCCGACTCTACTACACCCCCCCCACGCAGACCTGGGCCAACGGGGGCATCCAACATCGGAGCATCCACATTCATACCCTGCTTCCTCGTTTTATCACCAGCACCTGCTTCGGCTTCACTGCCAGAATCATCATCCCAATTGATCATTCCGCTCTTAACCTCCGTTACCATTCGCTGCAGGTTGACGCTTATATTTTTTCTCTTCAGGAGACCTTCTAAATGCGGTGTTTGGTAAGTCTTGGTGTCAAGAGGCGGTGTTAAGAGCCTTCTCGCACCTTTCTCCAGATCCTGAGTTTTTGGCGTAGTCATAGCAGCTCGGCGGCCGCCACCTTTTCTCTGACCTATGGTGGGAGCAGCTCTCGGAGTGACTAATTTAGGCGTCACAGGCACAGGAGTGGTAGGAATTATCAGATCGGGCATCGAACTGTTTTCCATCACACTGCTGCGCCTGCTGGAGCCAAAAGAAGCGTAGGGTGTGTTGAATGGATTAGGTTGTGTTTGTCGAGTGTTCCGAGATGGCCCATCAAGTGGGGTTGTTGGGCCAGGTGAAATCAATGGCTGCTCAATAGCTTCATCAATTACCACGCCACAGTCAAACGCAGCAGCATCGTGAGAGCTGTATTCACGCTGATGGGCAATACGGCAATGGTTGATAAAACCTTGCGCCGAGCTGAAATTGCTGCGTTGACAATCACGGCATTCCATTCTTTAATTAAAGCATGTGGTTAGTCTTTGTACACTTACCTAACATGAAGAAAGGCCAAGACAACGCCAGCAGCGACTAAAAACATACCGAACAAGTTGGCCATCGCTTCGGTTGAAGGTACACACCGTGGCACTTGCACCCCTTTGCTGTACCTTTGCTGCACTCTGCCTCTGGGGCCGCCCTGTGACAGTGTAAGACTGGCTTGAATCATGCATACCCTGGCTCCTGAGACTCTTTCCACCTCTTTGTACCGCCTGTGGTGGTCCTTCAGGTCCATATCCGTCAAATTTGGGATCAGGAAGCAACCACTGTTGATAATGCCTTGTATAAGGCCCATTGGTAATCGTCCAATGAGGTGGGGCAAACTCCGGGCAACCGGTATCTGTGGATTTCTCCCCGGGCGCAACCGGGTCCAGTGAGACCTCAGCGTGATACGGGATCAGGGTGCAACGACGAAGTTGTTCAATGCAAACTTGAGTTTTCGCTATCTCCTGCTCGATAAGTCGCAGCTCCCTATGCTTTAAGAGGATCTCGATATCAAATTGTTCCGAGAGGGTTTGGCGAATTGCCTTTATCTTAGCAGCATCCTTTGCCGAGCCTGGCAGTAGTTAGCAAGCTCAAACTTGTCTGCGTCTTTTAGAGAAACATTGGAAACTACAAGTTCCAACTATTGCCCTTTGTACTTTATTTTCAGAAGGAATTACCTGTGCAATCCTTAGTCTGTTGCCCCGCAGAAGACGTAGTTTGAGCACCTTCTCCGACAATGCCTCTCGGCATATCTGCGAACACAGCGGTTCCTTCGGGCTTCGGAGCTTGTTGCGAGGGGCTCGTCATGAGTTTAACTTTTTTGTTCGCCGGAGGTCTTTGTTCCCGGTTTGAAAGGCTTCTCGATCTCATGATTTTTCGGTGGTGATCCGCAGGACTGTGTTCGGTTCTTGGAGCGACAGCCGCCGCGACGAGAGGTGTTGCTGCCATGACGTTGCTAGGTTGCCGGGGTCGGGGGGCTCGTTGTCGTCGCGTGCAGCGACGAGCCGAATCTATTGAACCTGAGAGCGAAATGTCTCGAAAGGAATACAAAAAAACGTAATAAATATAAAGTTTATCGACAACAGCGGGGAATAAATGAGGGGCGAAGGAAGAAGCGGGAAAAAAAAAAGGTGGGAGAAGTGTTAAATTAAAGGTGTGGTCGTATGAGGAGAAGAGATAAGATGTGGAGACGAGCAAGCAGGCGAGCCGTGGAGCGAACGAACGAGGGGAGCGACAAAGAGGCTGACGCTGCTTGGTTGGCCCCCGGATCGCCCGCTGGTTATCGTCGAGGGAGCTTATTATCGAGGAAGGAAGCGGCGTGTGAAAATCAGAGATGATGTGCGACCGTCCCTAACGTAAGGGTATTCATACGTTGAACCTACTAACAACAAGAAAGCGAAAGAGAGTTACGGCAGAAAGGAAAAAGAAGTGGTCTTGCAGTAAGTTGGGGTCAAGGTCGAGTGGATAGCGGTGGACGGAGGGGGGGGGGATGCTCGGTGTCGGGTATCCTGTGAACTAGGTTAGTGGTGAGGAAAGGGTTGTAAGTTGGAGGCAGCAGCAAGGTAGGTGGTGATGGTGGTGTTGGGTTTGCAGTTGACTGGCTGAGCGTAGGGGTGGTGGTGGAGAGTGGACAAATTTGTTTGGCCAGAGCGCAAGGAGAGCTGCGAGGGAAGTTGGCGAGCGGGCGTGGTGGTGGTGGTGTGTGGTGGTGGGACAACCGCTGGGGGTAGGTAACCAACGGCGGAATCAGATGGATCGGAAGAGAAGCAAAATACGGCGATTGGGGTTAACTTATCGGTATACCACGGACACTGTACGAGTAACTAATTATTTCTTCTTCTCTGATTAAAATGCATCCATCATGAATAAGACTATTGATCTTTATGAATACAAATGAATACAAATATTCATAGTATCACACAGGAATGTTCGCAGGTTCTAACTTATGTCTCGGTCGAGTCCATTAAGTCTGACTGGCCGAACATCTGAGATGCCTGAGCGTTTTCTTGATATGCGAAAAGTACCCTACCAGATACCCGTACGATAAGCTATGATACAAGCGGGGGAGTTTGAGCCACGGGGAGGGGTTTTTTTTTTTTTTTTTTTTTTTTCAAAAAAAAAGGAGAGTGAGGGGGGAATACTTCTTTGATCTGCTTCTTTATTGATCTCATGCTGGAGGTGCTTCTGCTTCTGCATCTACCTCTGTTTTCCGCTTTTACCTACTTCTGCTTCCACTGCCCACCACCGGACTGTCTACGTGTCAACCTGATACCAAGAGACTGGACGCCAGGCAATCCCCCGGATGGCTACGCACGGGGCTAGAGAAAAACTGGGGAGACCCGACACATTCCCATTGGTTTACCGATAATAATGGGCTGCTTCAAAGACTATCCAAACCTCTAGCTAGATATAAGGGCGAGAAAATCGAAAATCGTAAGCGAATAGGGCGAGAGTGTTGGTGAGAGGAGTGGCCCGAGTGAGTGCTTTCTCTGCGGCCTACCGCTACATTTCTCATGCATGAAAGGCGTGGACCAAACTCTCCAACAGGTGCAAGCGGGAAGGAAAGCACACACTTTTCCGTAGCTAATAGTCTGCCGTTGTCAGAGCTGGAAAGTCGAATAACGGTTCCAATGTTCCCCTCTCAAAACCAAATTTTGTGCGGGGCTGAGTAACTAATGTGACCATGAGTTGTAGGGTACTTGTATGATACTGGGACGATAATAATTATGATATGTTTTTCACCGATACCGATGAGGGCATATACAGGCGAGGTAGGAAGAAAGAAAGGGAAAAAATTTCTTCACAGTTTGCTGGCTTCTGCAGCAGCTTCACACAAACGCCACGATGCGGCGAAAAGGCGAAGTGAGACACTTTTTCTGCCAATTTGGAAGGCAGAGACTTATGCTCGGACCCTCTTGGCGGAGATCTTGTTTCGGGGGTCCGGCGGTCATAAGAGCCTCATCTTCTTACAGCATAGGCGAGCCCCTCCCCCCAGCCCTAATCTTTGATCGCTTAAACCCTTATGATGACTAATGCTCACCTCTTTTCCGAAGAAAATATCTTGACGCCCGAACCATTCTTCGGATTTGAGCTGAGCCTGCCTATTATTCATTCCAGTCCACGCTTCCGAGGATTCCACACTTCACATTTTGGAAAATGGACTCCTTCGATCCTAGCAGTATCCCTACCGTATCCATCATCTCATCACACTCTATATCCAAAAAGACAACTCGGTGCCTGGCCACCCTTTTCCCCATTCAACCACCAACTACACCTTCAGTACTTGCGGTAGCAATTGTTGCAAAGTCCACCGTCGCTTCAAAGGCTATCACAATCGCTGAGATTGTTAAGCGCCGTATCAGCACCCAGGGTGAAGCATGGTTCCAATATACAAAGCTTGAAGGTACCATGGTTGAGCTTAAGGCTCCCAAGAAAAGCAAGAAGGAAGGGAAGGGCAAAAACAAGGACCAGAGGGGTAGCCAAGTGGAGAAGGCAGGGGAGAAGGGGGCACAAATAGGGGGGGAGGAGGGTACAGATGAGGAGGACCCCTTTGAGCCTTTAAAGGAAAAGACTCCACAGAAGAAGCGGAAAATGCCTCTATTGACTATCTACATATCGAGGTCCTCCATCCCAGAACTTGCAAAACTCTATGGGTCAGATTCCCCACAGATGCTTTCCAGAAGTTATTGTTCCATCAGATTCTTCAGTAATACTAATATACAGTCATCTTTAGCGAGCAATCTGGAAGTGGTCCCGTGGGGGAGGCGCAAGAGCAACCCCGGTAAACGGGCTGCGACACACCGCCGGACCTTTGTGCTGCACCTTTCCCTTCAATTTTTTTTGGATTTAATACCTGCTCTAATACCGGTACGGGGCTTGCTTTCTCTCAATTACTATACGCCAAACAGTGCATCTTCATGTAACCTTAGCTTTTAAAAAGCGGGACGCCAGGTTGTAACTCATGTGATACTTTACCCAAGAACTATCGCCGAATATCGGCGTTCCATTTTTGCTAATGTGATGATACGATACGAATAGAAACCCCAGTTGGCATTCCACATTCCGGAAGCCCATGGGCTACAGTATTAACAAAAGATGGACTCCACTATCCATCAGGATGTTAGTGTGCGCCGCTTTGCGCCATATCACTTGCCCTAACGGCCCCCCTGTGGCCAACGTAGCGAGATCTGGCCATGCCCCAATTTTTCCAAGAGAATTCGATGTCAAGTCCGTCCAGATATATGAAAGATATCCGCCAACGGAGAAGGGGCATAATGACAGGGATACACAGCTCCCCGCCCATGCACATCATTTTCCATTCCATATTTATTTTCAGGACCACTGACCCCACTATATCCAAGTAGCGAGAGAGAATCAGCCAGTTGATGAAGATATGCATGAATTCAATTGTATCTTCCCGTGTGATGATACGGCATCAGTGATAGAAACTCAACACACTCATTATATATACATTAGGGGAATGCTCATGCCGGGATGACATCCTCCCTGCTCATAAATGCCTTGTAGCCTGGCTAGAGGGGTAAATATAGTTAGTAGCTTCTTTGCACTGCAAGGAAATAGAAGGGGGGGGGGGTATCGTGAGCGAGATGGATCTATTCGGGGTCAGGTTCCCTCACCCTCCCTACCCCACAGCTTTCGCGATCCTCCCTCCCAACACTGGTGGGATTCATGACCCTTAACAAACAAGTATGAACTCAGGAATAACAAGGGATTAAGCATGTAGGGAGGGGTTTGCTGAGTGTTTGCCAAAAACGATATGCAGAAGGCTGAAAAAAAAAAAACCATTCAGGACCCCCATTCATTCCGGGTGCCACACAAGCATTAACTTATGCATCATCCTTCATCACTCATTTCGTGAACAGAGGTGACAAACTCACGTTCTCGCACCACTTATCATTCGTTGCCTACATGAACCCTGTTCTTGCAACGGAAATATCTCTTCTACCCTTGCACTTGTTACGACGCTTGGAAAGTAGACCAATCGGAGTCCGGATCCTGTTACATAATTTATGTTTTTTTTTTTTTTTTTTTTTCAAGGGATTAACTTATTGGTCTACCAGTATTTACAAGCACCACCAGTAAACGGTCGTTTGTAATAGCGATAAAGCCTGTACAGTACAAAACAGCTCCCAAGTTATAACGATATTTTTTTGTGAATTTCATGGATTGAACCGACAGGTTAAGCAGGACAGTAAGGAGTCCTGAAAGTATGACAAATTTGAATCAATGGTGGTATTATATTTCCAACATGAGAGAGCGTCATAACCTCATATGGCAAGGCCATAAACTTTGTAAAGCAAACTTCCCGACTCATAGAAGACATTTATCGAAATATCTGCTAGGATGGTAAGCTGTTAAATACCCCCATCGCTGGCATTCAATTAACATGGGCATTCACCTTCCCTGTTCTTGTTTTGTCGGGCACCGTACTGAGTAATATATATCAATTTTCTGTAAAAAGAATTTATATTTGCGTTGAGCTAAAAGCCTACCAACACTGTAGTGGAGTAATAATAAGGGGTAGGAAAAAGAAAGAGACTCAATCAACGCCTACTTGTACTTGAACGTTAGGCGATCTTGCAAACGATCAGTACGAACCTGAAGTCGAAGTAGACTGAGTTCACTCTTCGTGGAATCCTTCAATCTTGCTTCCTGATCATAGATCTTCTTTTCGAACCTATCTTCCCTTGCAGTGCCGAGGCAAAACTTTGTCCCGAACCGGTACATTCGTCAATCCAAGAACTGTTAGAAAGGGGAACCGTTTGTTTCCTACCATGGTACAAATGAGTCCCCCAGCCAATAGCCCACCACCCAATAAGAAGAAATCTTTCATTTCACTAAAACCTGTCTTCACATTCTGACAGGCAAATTAAACCATATCAGGGTAGATTCGCCATGGCCGATTTACCTTTTCCAACTGAGTCATTCTTTGAGCAACCGTCAACTCATCCGTTATTAGAGGGTTTGCGCCCAACGACCTGGGTGCCGGTTAAAGCAAAAGCGACCTAGGTGCCAGAATGAGTTTGCGCATAGTGTTCAGGTGACCTGGAATATGTGTTACATCAAATCAGCACAATGGTTGTGTAATATATTTGATATAATGAGATTATATTATTATGATGAATAAAAGTGACAAAAAAAACCCATCGACAATAGATGAACAACATACCTCAAGTGCAAAACCAGCAGAGCCATGCTTGCATGACCGTTCCTACAGAAAAGACATGCAAGAAGGTTGGTTCTTCAACAACAGCTTCATATTGCTGTCTCTAGAGACAATAGTCAGAAAAGAGGTGCTTTACGAGCAGGGGGGAGATTGGATTTGGATACTTTGGATGAGGAAGAGTGGAGAAACCAATTCTGGTATGTGTTAGCCTAATCAATTGGTATATAGTCACTTTAATAGAATAGTGTATCAAATGTTACGGTAAAACATACTTACAAGTAAAAGGTTTACCCGAAGTGAGGTTGAGGAGTTGGTTGATATCTTGCAACTCCCAAATCCTATACGAGCGGATAATCGAATTAAAGAGGATCAATGAACAGCACTATGTATGCTCCTAGCATGATTAGCATATTCCAATTGACTCTGCGATCTTGCTCTGAAGTTTGGCTGGCCGGTAGAAAGAGTATCACGTATTAGTACTACATCTCAATCGATTATCTATGAGAAATGGGGGCACTTACTCGTATGGGATGCGGAGTGCTTAATACCGGAATGATTAGCCCTTTATGCACGTACAGTTAAGCGAAAAGGGGCACCGATTGGGACTGTCTGGGGATTCATTGACGGAACAATTTATGGTATTGCCTGCCCTGTTCAGCACCAGTGCACCTGCTATAACACCTGGAAGCGGAAACATTGCCTTAAGTATCACGCAATTGTGACTCCTGACAGGCTTATTAGCCACTTGTTTGACCTGGTAGATGGCCGGCAAAATGATGCATTTTTGTGGAAAGAGTCCAACCTGCCAAATCTACTAGAGTAACATGCACAAGCACCAGATGGTACCTGCCTCCAGGTATATGGTGATCCGGCCTATAGTATAAATAGTTTCATTTTATCGCCATATCAAGGAGCAAGAATTACAAACAATCAAAAGCAGTGGAATCATTCTATGTCACTGCTATGGATTGTAGCAGAGTGGGCATTCAAGGAAATGATCAATACTTTTGGTTTCTTAGACTATGTACAAAACCAAAAACATTTACTTCAACCTGTAGGAGTTCAGTTTCGAGTTGCTGCACTTCTTCATAATGCCCATATATGTTTACATAAATCCCAAGTTACTCAATATTTTAGTACTGTTGAAGGTGATATTGTTTATCCAGATGGGTTTGCGGAAGATCAGCTTTTAGAACCACTGCTATTGTCGGCATATTTTCATAACTAAATTTCACTTTTATTCTGTATCTAAAATAATGTTCTGTTAGAAATATGTCTAGAAATAAAGTTGTCACTATCTTGCTATTTAAGTTCACAATAATTGAGGTACTGAATATATTCTACGAACTTTACTAATACTAATCTATTGGTCCCTGTATATTCACTTGCATTCAAGAGCAATAAAGAGAGACCCACAAAGTCAAACTTCAATATTTTAGCTAGTGGGCGGTTGGTGAGAGATGCAATCGACTCGCCTTGTCGTTTCGGGTGTCGTTGACGCGGCATACCAAACAAATCCAGGGCTTCTGTATCGAGCAA